ACTAAATATGATAATTAGTAAGAGAAATAACTAAGTTTTACTGCCTTTTTATTTTCTATTATTTGATATAAAAACCTTTTATACAAAGTGATTATAAGTCTTACAGCAATTAAAAGTACGTTCGCAGTCTATATAATGTTAGAGTCGTATAAGAATATTATTCTTTTCATTATCATGAATATGCGTAAATAGCGATGATCTATTAAATCCTATGTGTTTATTTTAATTAGATTTTTCCATTTTAATCTTTTTTAATCCATTACTTTGATATCAAGATTCAAGAAGTAATTATATTTAATCTAAATTTCTTTCAAATCTTCTTGTTCATTAGATAGTACAGTAAACAAAAACTTGTTTTTCTCTGACAATCCAACACAAAAGATACATTAGTTTATTTTTTTTCTAAATATTTTCTTGTATAAAAGCGATATGTGATTACTAGAGGTTAATGATATTTAATGAAATACATAATAGAAAAGAAACAAAAATGATAATGAGTAAAAATACTGGAAAATTGTGAAAACACCAAAAAAAAGAGAGAAATGAATACTTGATCAAATACACCGGTTGGTGAAGAAATCTGATCTGTTTCATAAACTTTCAATTGATCGATTATTTATCTGGACGGATAAAAAATGCTGAAAGTGCAAAACATAAAAATACAACACCACCAACAAGTGTCACTGTCTTTGCTGATATACGTTGCGCAATAAAACGACCACCAATAACAGCTAATCCAGTACATAAACCATGACCAATTGTACCACCTACAATAACACCTAACAGATTTTCACTAGCTGCTAATACAATCGTTGTTACTTGAGAGCGGTCACCCCATTCCTGAAAAACAAAAAACCATACAATAAAGTATTAATATTTAATCTTAGTCTATCAGTTTCCTAAATCTATTTCATGGTTAACTGTATATACTTACAGCAAGAAAAGTCATAATACATGCTTGAACGAAAATTGGTGATATATAACGACGTATAATTGATGTAATATTATTTCTAGTATTTCTCTGTGATGATCTTTGTTGTTGTTGTTGATTTTCTTTTGATGAATTGTCGATGGATTCACCATTATTGCCTGCTTCTAAGTCATCAGCAGCTTCTGCTTTCTCGACTTCCTGTTGAACTTCTTCATATTCATCTGCTCCTTCATCACGTGACATACCGTATCCATCTTTTAACATTTTAATACCAAAACATGCGAATAATATACTTGATAAATAATAAGTATAAACTCGTGAGATAAATTTTGTAACAATATTTCCTAATAATGCTGATAAAACTGTCATTGCACCAAGAGCACTCATTGCACCAGCATATATAATTAAACGTGAATGACGCATTGCCATAATAGCAGCAATAAAAAATGTTTTATCACCTATTTCAGAAACAACAATAACAGATATTGCTGCAAGAAATGCATGTACAAAACCAAGATTTCCTATATTTTTTGTATCTTCATTGATTTTATTATTTGCCAAAATTTTTGTTCCATTCGGTAATATTATTGGATTCGTTGCCCATAATTTATTTTTATAAGAACTTTTCGAATAAATATAGATTGAACAACTTAATATTGAAAAACTAACAAAAGTTATTAATAATAATGTACGTGTTGTGATAGCCATTAGAAAGAACTAAAATTAAATAGAATTCTAAATGTAATCGATGAGTAAAGAATAACTATAATAATCCTATACAATGACAGACTGATTCTGGTAATACAAACTCGCTTTTCTAAGTACTGAAATCTTGCAAGATAATCTGTCCTTGTAGTGACTTAGATTATAATCGATAGCAACTAGAATAGTACGACTGAATATAGCATGAAAAACTAATTTTGATCCTTTCTCCAAAACAAAAAGTACACAATTAAGATTAACTATTCTTTAAAAATTTGTCGAGCTTTTCATATAATCTTACTTTGAGAAGCAGAACAGAGTAGCTATCACCAGGAATGCATTGTTAATCACAGATTAATATGTCAGGTGGAATGAAAAAGAATAATCTAGAAAAGATGACGTATTATTATAATTTAGTTCTCATTCCAAGTGTTTCATATATCTAAAAAATAAAGAAAACAATTATCCCATGACCCCAAAGATAAAAATTCGTCAATAATTTAAACAATTATGGCATTAACAATATTCACTTGTTTTTCATAAAAATAAAAATAAAAATAAAACTATTACTTATTCATCATATAACTCAGACATAATTAAAACAATCAATGATGACCATCCAGTAAATGGATGACTGCCTTTTCCATTACCAGTTCTATCATCATACTGTTCCCAAACATGACCAGTTTTTTCATAAACACGAAACATATTCTTTATTAGATTTATACGTAATTGCTTATAGATTTGTCCAGCTTTATCAGAATATGGACCGGGAATTTTTGCATAATGTTGCAATGCTGATAGTACCATATAATTCATATTTATCCATATAGCACCTAAAATCATGATTTAGAAAAAAGTTTTTTGATATAAAAATAAATAATATCGGTACCTCTCCAATACGGTGGATCATGTTCAGTATTTCTCGTTCCATACAATGAACTTGATTGTGCTAATGATCGAAGACCATAGTGTGTCCATAATAAAGTTGTATTTTGCAAATCATTTAAGATTTTATCAAGTTTAATCGATTGTGAATCTAAAATACGTGTCATTAATGGAAAAAGAGAAACATAACCAAAATGTTTGACATATTTCAAATGAACATCAGATTCATTTGTTATTTGTCGTATCATATGTGTTTGTTGATATTGTTGTGACGATGATTTCTTTGGCATTAATACATGTTTTAATTTAGCATGATCTGTATGTAAACCATAATCAGCATACATTTCATATTCATCAGACCAATGTAATTGATCAAGTATATCATTATTTGAAAGTAATTTTGCATAATTTAAATATTTATTTGTTTGTTCATTATTTATTATTGAATAAAGTTTACCAATTACTGATGATGCTAATGTAATCCAACAACGTAAATCTAAATGACGTTCAGAATCAGTTGGATGAGATGCACGTGGATAATCATCTAGACCACTTGTTAAAGTTTTTGGATTAAGTTCATAGATTGATGAAGTATTTCGACCACGCCAACGAAACGAGAATGGAATTGGACCTGATTGAGTACGATTATACCATTGATACCATTTTTCTAAACGTTGAATAAATGGTAAAGTAAAAAGATGATTTGCTTGATTTGTTTTTAATAAATAATCAATTGTTAAAAAAAATGTTGGAGGATTTGCATTACTCGTATATTGAATAACGAATTCAGATGGAACACGAGCACGAGCTTCATCACCAAGAATTATTTCCTAAAATAATCATCGATCTATGTAGAGATTAATAAACGGTATGTCTTTCGAAACCGAATACTATGGCGACATCAACAATTCTGTTTGAAAATTTATAACCGTGTGTCAACACGCTTTACAAGAGAACGACGTAAAATTACTTTTTTAATGTTATGACGCAACTGTGACATACTTTCAAGTACAATTAATTTGTCTATAATAGACAGAAATATTTACTCTCACGAATTTATCTACCCCTCATTATCTGAAATAAAAAATACTTACTCTCGGTATCCACCCATTATCATTAAGCATATCAAACCAATGTGAAAGAATGTCAATGGTAATATTTTGATTCCATCGAGCAATAAGAAGATTATGAAAACCTTCATCCCATAGAAAACCACGTGGAAAAAATGAACGTGATGGTACAGCTGTATATAAATTAGTTGTCCAATATTCATCGGGAATTTTTTGATTTGGTTTTGCTACTAACGATTGACCTAGGAGAATAACTCAATGAGTCATAACAAAAAAAAAAGAAAATTTTTACCAGTAAAATATGAAATTCCACCAATTAAATTACTTAAAGTTGATCGAGCGAAATTTATTTTATTTTCACTCATATTTTGTTTTGTTTTTAATTGAAATATATTTTCAAAACGTTGATCAAATTGTTTTTGTAAACGAAGAATTTCTTCATTAAAATAAATACCTGTCAAATCTTGTTGACGTTCATTATCCGATGAATCCGATTGATAGATAATATCAAATGAAAATTTTTCATCCGGTAATAATTTCGGTAATGTTATTTGAATAAAAAATGTATTATGTTCTGTACTTTGAAATACTTGATCAGTTAAAACAAAATATGGTTGTGTAGGACGATTTGATGTTAATTTTGTTAGAATATCACGATGAATTGTATTCAATTGAAATATATCTGTTAATGTACGAATAATAGGTTGATTAGATAATGTATTTAATTTAATTTTAATAGTAAATTTATCTAATTCATTTGTTTGACCACGAATGTGTAAAGTATCACGAGATTGTTTTGCAATTGATGAAATTTCTTTTATCCATGGAAGTTCATGATGAAAATAGAAGAATAAAGAGATCGGAATTGAACCACTATTAGACTAGAAGAAATAAAAATTTGATAGAAATCTTACGAGGGAACATCTCCAACTATCGGATCGCTTTGGAGTTCGGGCTCCGTGCATAAAGTAGGAAGACCCATAGGCACTTATCCTTTTGGGGTTTTTCATACCTCACTAGGATCTACTTTATGCACGAAGCCCGGACTCCAAATCGATCCGTTAGTTGGGGATGTTTCCTCGTTATCTATCATCTACATGATTCAATTGTTTAATTTTAATGTCATAAATAAATATAAAAATCTATTCATTTTTATTCACAAACTATCATTAATCATAGGAAGAAGGATACATATGTTATTGTATTCAATCTATTCTTATCATCCTCTTTTAAAAATGATTTGGCGTCAGATGTTTTTATTTTTCTATTCATACTTGTGGTGTAACATTAATACGTGTTGTCCAATCGCCTCCATGTTTTCCACTATTTTCTTTCATCCATTGAATATTTAATTTTAAATTATTATCTTTAATATCTTCTATACCAAATGTTTCACCATCATGATATGTCCATCCATATTTTAATTGATCATTTTGATCACACCAATGTCTAGAAAAACAAAAAGATTAATTTTATGTTTAAATTATTATTTTCTTCTAATACCTAAGAAAACGATCGTTTGATTTTTGTAATGTAGCATAATCAAACCACATTAATCCACCACTTAATGATTGTGGACTTCGATGTTTTAAACCAAAATATAGATTTGATCTATAAGTTCCCCAAAATCTATCCGGAATCGATTCATTAGTATTAACAAGTTTTGGCAAATCAATTGGAATATTTGTATGTTCAATATCAATAGTTCCTATGAAAAATTTGTATGAACTATATAACACTATCGGTATAATAATTAAAAATATTGAAAATTTGCTGCTGAGAAGAGATAAATTATTATGACGTTGTTTTCGTTTTTTATCTAATTCATCATGTTTATCAGGTAAATGTTTATTCTGAGCATGTCGTTGACGATGAGTTATTTTTTGACTCATCTAAAACTGAACAAATATTTGTTTCTTTTCTTTTCAATTCCATGAAATGATAAAATATCTAATTACACGAACCAGCGCGTTAAAAAATACAATTAAACCATTCGATACATATGTATATATATAAAACTGTTTTAACAGTAAAAAATAAAACCTAATCACCACAAAAAAAAACAAATGCGAAAAAAGTAAAATAAAATTTTTGTTGTTTTTTTTATCTTAAAATGTTTTACGATGAATTACTCGTGCACCTTCATTATCATATTCACGTTTTGTTACCCAGATTTTTTTAAATGTATCAAGTGATGCCAAAATTGAACCACTATGAAAGAAACAATTATTATTAGAGATAAAATAAAATAGATTTCATTATTTTACCCAATCCATGTTGAATAGAGACGTTCACGTGGTGCGGAAATTTTTATTTTAACTTCTTTTGGTGCTATACGTTTTAATTCACCAAGTAAACGATCACCAAAACCTAAAGATATATAGATTTGTTTGAATAATATTATATAAAAATAATAGATCTACCTCGAAATAAAGTTGAACCACCAGATAAAACAATATTTTGATAAAGTGTACGTCGTAAATCCATATCAGAACGTTGAATTGAACCTGATAAAATTTCATGTATACCTTCACATTCTTCACCAATTAATTCCGGATTGAAGAGAACTTCAGGTGCTCGATAACGGCTTGTACCAAGCTAAAAAAAAGCAAATTAATTTTAAATAAGAAAGTTTCCTTTCATTACATACATCAATAGATGTTCCATCGGGTAATGTAAATTGTGATTTATCATTCTGACTTGTTTCATCTTTTTGTGCTGCTGGTGTTAAAAAACAAGCTCGTTCTTTAATACTTTTCACTATTTCAAATTCAGCTGTTGTTTTAAATGCATAACCTTCTTTTCGTAATAATAATTTTAAATAACGAGTTACATCACGACCAGCTACATCATTTCGAAGAATACTATGTGGCATTGCAAATCCTAAATATCGAATGAAATTTACTAAATTATAATTTAATTCAATTACCTTCATAAATGGGTACTGCATGAGTCACACCATCTCCTGAATCAAGTACAACACCTGTTGTTCGTCCACTTGCATATCTAAAGATTGAAGTATAGTTTTATAAACTTTGATAAGAATTAGAATATTCAACATACAAACTAAGAATTGCTTGCATAGATATAAATATAGCCGGAACATTAAATGTTTCGAAAAAAATTTCTGCTGCTTTTTCACGATTTTTTCTTGGATTTAATGGTGCTTCTGTTAATAAAACAGGATGCTAAATATATAAATAATATCGTATTAAAAATATTTTATTTCTTAACGGCAATATACTTCTTCTGATGCCGATCGTAATTGATCTTTTGAATAAACATAAGTCCAAATTTTTTCCATATCATTCCAATCTTGTATAATACCATGTTCCATTGGATGAGCAATATGTAATAATCCTCGATATTCTTCAGCTTTCGGACCTATAAATGTATCACCTTCAAGACCACCCGCCATAACTCGAACATGTTTTGGTCGTCCGACATAATTTGGAAAATTTACTTTTGGTATTGGATCACCCGCAAAACCTGCTTTAATCATTCCAGACCCATTATCAATGACAATGGGTTGATTTGTTATTAAAATATCATTATCCATTTAGTTTTATTCTCAATTAAATTATAATAAACAAGAATGTAAAAAAAGAAAAGAAAATTTCTTTCAAGTAACCAATTGATACATCGTCGATTCGTTACTTTTTCATTCGTATAGAAAAATAACCAATAGAAATAAAAATAAAAATAAAAACTATAATTTATTAAGAAGTATTTTGTTTTCTACTGCATCGTATCTTTATTTACCGTATCAATGTCAGGTCAATTAAAACGTTTTGATGCTTATGCAAAGACCTTAGATGATTTTCGTGTTCGAACAACAAGTGGTGGACTTGTTACGATAATAAGTACATGCATAATTTTTATTCTTTTTTTTCTTCAATTACAATATTATTTAACAACTGATATTGAACAAGTTTTATTTGTTGATACAAGTCGTCTAGAAAAAATGAATATAACTATTGATATTGTATATCCAGTTTTACCATGTAGTTATTTAACTATTGATGCAATGGATATATCTGGTGAATCACAAACTGATATTATACATAATTTATATAAAACTAGATTAGATTTACTTGGAAATGTTATAGCAAATGATATTGTTAAAGTATCACTTCAACCATTACCGAAACTAAATACTACACAAGAAAATACTACAAATACAACAACAAATTCTGATTGTGAATCATGTTATGGAGCAGAATCAGAAACACAGAAATGTTGTCCAACATGTGATGATGTCAAAGCAGCATACAGAATAAAAGGATGGTCATTTGATGCAAGTAAGTTATTTTCGTGAATGATTGAATTCTTAAATAATTTTCTTTACCTGTAGCTGGTGTTCAACAATGTATTCGAGAAGGTCAAACAGTTGGTTTGATTGGTGCGAATTCTAATGGAACTCAAATGAATGAAGGTTGTCGTGTTCATGGTCATTTAGAAGTAAATAAAGTCGCTGGAAATTTTCATATTGCACCTGGTCAATCATTTCAACAACAACATGTTCATGTTCATTCCTTACGTAATATACGTTTAGATATGCTTAATACTACACATTATATTGATGATCTGTCATTCGGACATTTTTTTCCAAATCAAATCAATCCATTAGTAGATACAAAACAGATTTCACTTAATAGTGCTGTTCTTTATCATTACTATGTTAAAGTTGTTCCATCAACATATGTTTTTTTAAATAAAAGTGAAATAAGAACAAATCAATACTCAGTTACAAAACATCGAAAAATTATTCAAAATATATTCGAAGGTAATACTGGTCATCAATTACCTGGAACATTTTTTACATATGAAATTAGTGCTATTATGGTTAAATTTGTTGAACGACAACGATCATTAGCTCAATTTTTAACATCATCATGTGCAATCATTGTAAATATATTTTTGAGTTATAAAAGATATTCAAATACTTTCATTTTAGGGTGGAGTTTTTACTGTATCAGGCTTGATTGACGCATTCATTTATCGTGGCGGTTGTTTATTAAAACAAAAATTAGAAATAGGCAAAGCAACATAATGGTTTATTTTTGCATTTACTTTTTAGTATTATTTTACAGTGATATATATTTTCATTTTGTTATTCCACGCGTTCTCTACTGTGATCAATAGCCTTATTATAAAAAGAAGAATTGTTTTTGTTATCAAAATAATAAATTAAAAGATTAAATTTTAAAATAGAAAAAACATAATATCTATTCTTTAAATTTTAGGTCTTGTTGGCCTTATTCAAATGATTCATATTTTGCAATTCTTTGGTCATAGATCATTAGTTGTTAAATGATCGGAACTTTTTTTCCATACAGAAATTATCTTAGTATATTTTGATTGTATGACGTATAAAGGAAGAAAAATTCATTAAATAGTTTATAATAAAAATGTGTAATGTAGGATAAAAACTCATTTCCGACCGAGTAATGTTATAGTTGAAAAATATTGACATAGGTTCATGTTTATATATGTGAAATATAATTTTACTAGAATTGTAATTAACCGCCTATTGTAAAAATTCTCAAAATAGAAAAAAAAATAATGTTGATATATTCAGTCTGATTTACTTCTCTGTTTTATTTATACTTGCTATGAGAAAAAATATTGACAAAGACATTCAATCGTTCATATTAGTTGTTCAGTGACCTCTGCACTTTAAATTTCTATTGGCTTCTTCATCGAACGTCAACGTACACATATACTCATGTCCATACTTTGCCATCTTTAATTTTCTGTTTACAATTTCGATAATTTTTTTGTCTAGTTTAATTTACAATAATTATTATGCCAGCTTCGCCAAGTGGTACATCTGTAAGTATATGATTCTTTAATGACATTTTCTGTAAATATCGTAGTTGATTTTTAGGTTGGTAAGGGTGATTCAAGTAAAGTAGCTGGACCACGAGCATCGGGTAGTGGTGCTGGTGTTCGTCAACGTAAATCAACAGCTACAAGTCGTAGTCGACCAAGCGCTAGTGGCGGTGGTGGTGGTGGTCCCAGTGCAGGTGTTTGGCGTTTTTATACAGAAGATTCTCCGGGTCTTAAAGTTGGTCCTGTACCTGTACTTGTAATGAGTTTAATCTTCATTGCAAGTGTATTTATGTTACATATATGGGGAAAATATACGAAATAAATTATTCGAAAATAAAAATATATATATCCGTTTTATTGTTGTTGTTTAATTATAATAAATTCATCTTATTTTTAGATGAGAGAAAAAAAGATTCATTATAAAGATATAAATGTATTTATCACTTGTTCACTTTGTAATGGATATTTAATTGATGCTGCGACAATACCAGAATGTTTACATACTTGTATGTTTTTATAATTATATTTAATTCTTCTATTTATTTCGCTTTGTGTTTTTCATAGTTTGCAAAACATGTATAGCAGCTTATTTGGATAATGATGAAGAAGATAATACACGATGTAAGAAATTTTTTTGAAAAAAATTATTAATTACGAACTTTATTTTTTTGTAGGTCCTAAATGTGATTCAGTTATTGATCATGTTAATCCATGGCGTGTGTTAGTATTTGATCGTACATTACAATCGATTGCTTATAAATTAGTTCCAGATCTTTATAAAGGTTATAAATACATGATGAATCTGAAAAATTTAATTTTCGTATTATAATTTTAGAGGAAATCGAACGACAAATCGCTTATTATAAAGAACGAGATTTACCTTATCCACCATCGTTAGTTGGTAAGTAAAACAAATCAATTGAAAAAAAAATTAAACTTTATTTATTCGTCTAAAAAGAAAAATTACAAGAAAAACGAGATGAAGAAGAACAACAAACAATTCCATCAAATTCAGATTTACATATTTATGATGATCAAGTTGCAATTTGTATTGAAACAAAAACAAAAGATCTTCAAGTAAATAGTTTTAATATGTATATGTATATATTATTTAATTATTAATTTGTAGCCACTCCCACGTAAATTTATTATCTGTTCAAGTAATGCAACTGTAACACATTTAAAAAAATTACTAGCCAAAATGATATTTCAAGATCCTTGTCAATATAGAAAAGTAATTTAATTTGCTGTTTTTATATCATTATTACCACCACCAGTACCCATTGTATCCATTTCGACTATTTCATAACCTCGTGCACGTACTACTATTGGAGTTTGTTGAATTGCTCGATGATATACTCGACCTTCAACTGGTTCATTCGATTTTTTTCTATATATCTGTTGGGTTTGAGATTGTTCTTGATAATTTTCACTAATTGGTATTTTACCACTACGAGCACATGGAATACATTTGAGGAGAAATGAAGGCATTTGATCTGTTTATAGATCTACAAATAAATAAATAGACCTTGCCTTTTTCTGTCAAAGGAAAGAAAAATTCTTTCTGACAATCCTTATTAAGAGAAATATGAAAAGTATGGCTTATGATAATTGAAAAATATGGGTAGGATGATGAATGTATATGACTCCTAAAGAAATAATATTAGCAGACGAACCATTTAAGTAAAAGATGTGACGATACCATAGTAAAAGGGGCGTTGGCGTTGTACTTTCTATTTTCTTTTTCTTTTTTTTTATGACTCTCCTTCTGTTCTCTCCCATAAAGAAAACCGATTACGATAAAAAGAAATAGAACAGAGAGGAAAAAAAATCTAGTAAAGTCAGGTATGACTAATATTCCACATAATTTTTTTCTTCTTTTCTTTAAATAGATTGACATCTATTTGGATGATCAAATCCTAGGTAAAGATCATACAATGCGTTTTATCTCATTGACGAAATGGCGCCATAAAGTAAGTCATACTTGTTTTTTTTTACATCTAAATACAAAATAAATCGTATTTTATCTTCTAGATGCCGCCTATCTGTTTAACCTATGATGTATCATCGGATTAATATTTCTAAATAATTTCACTTTTGTTTCTTTTTTTTGAAAATATATTATAATCTCTGTTTTGTAAAGAATAAAAAAAAAATTTCAATTTATGCACCAACATCAATTAAAAATATATCCACTTTATTAGTAAGTTTATCAGCAAGTGTTTCATGACGATTTCGAAATGTAGGTCGACGATTTGTTACTGGCGGACGTACCATTTTCCAACGGCCTCGTTCATCTTGTAATGAAGTATTATTCTGTATAATACTTTTAACTGATTGAGTTTTTGAACTTCGTCCATGATGCACTTTAGAGAAAACATCCATTAAATCATTAAAACGATTATCAAGTGCAGCACTTTTAGGTTTTTCCGATGAAGCATTTTGCATTTGTAGTTGATCATATTCATCTAAAGCTTCATTAGATGTTATCGCTTGTTCAGTCATACTGGTTCGAATATGATCAGCACCAGCTGATTTAAAACGATGATTTTTTGGTTGAGCTAAAAAATCAAGTCGTTCACGAGATATTGGTTGTCGAGTTACAGGTCTTTGAATCATCGATCGTTTTGAACTGGAAAATGATAAATCAAGTTGAGGTCTTCGTGATTGAGATGAATGATTAATGCGGTCACGTGCTGATGGTAGTCCAGTTAAAGGTCGTTGGCTATTAGATGATTTTGGAGTTAAAGCACGTGCTATTTCAGGTTGAGCTTTCATAGGTAGTGCTGTTTTAACTCGTGTAAGTGTTGATTGTGGTCTTCGATTAAATGTTAAATCAGATCTTGTTTCTGGACGAGAAAAAAGTGAATGCGATGATGGGCTTGTTAATCCTTCTCCATCATTTTTATATCCAGATGAAGTATGATCAGTACCATCAAACATTAATTGATCCACATATCTAAATGAATAAATTTTCTTATCAAAAATAAAATTTTCTATAGATTAACATACGGACGAAGACCAGGCATTGATGTTTCGGATTTTGCACGTTGATTTTTAAGAAAACTGTTCTTTTCAAAATTACATGTTAAAATTTTTCGATAACGTTCAAATGATAAACTTAATAAATCGGAAAAAAATCGTCGGCTAACAATTAAATTTTGTCTATCTTCTTTTCTTTGGAAACGTGAAGCTTTTTCTACGCTATCTACAACCAAATCTTTTGCCATCCATTCCGATACTTCTGGTGGTGTGGGTCGTTGTTTAGGATACATTTTGTTAAATAATAAAAGTGTTTAAAATACTTGGACGAATGTTATATTCACAAAGAAAAAGAAACACTAATGTTTTTTGCATGTATGTTATAGAGAAGAGTGAGAGAGAGAGCAAAAAAATGAGAGAGAGAGACAGAAAAAAAAAGAGAAAAAAAATTTAAATTTATGTTGTTGTTACTAATTACAAATCAAGTATTATACCATTTACTGCTTTGTCTGCTATAATGGTCGTTTTATTTTTTGCAAATATAGTATGAAAAAGAAAAAAAACATTATTCTATTGAAAAAAACCTTAAAAATTAACAATTTAAGATGACATTTTTCTCATTACTGTCATGAAAAAGAAAGAACGTAGTTGTCTAAGTACAGTACATTATATAAATATCATACGTCGAGAAAACATCCTTTAATAAAAAAAATATTTTTTTAAAAAACGAAATGAAAATTTAAACTGTTTTTTGTTTATGATTTTCGAATAAAAGAACGGCACGTGTGACCGATAAAATTCTGTTAAGAGAAAAATAAATGTTTTCATCGGAACATTCGTATAATATTGTTTTTTGGATCTCTGATAATAATCATCTAAGCAAAATAGATTTCCCAGGCACTATTTATAGAATTCAGTGTTGATAAACAAAATAATGCGCATTTATTCTTTCAATAATAAATGTATTGCAGATTGTCTTGCTTATATATCTATTCTAATTGATAATATAGATGAATTAAGAATAGTTAACAGATCTTTCACCAGCCCATCGATTATCTTAAAGGTCACGAATCTTAACAAAAGGATGTGACTAAGGTCATTTTAAAAATATGCTTCAGGCTAAGTCTATATAAAAAATTTGAATTCTGACAAAAAAAATAATATTCATACTTTTACTTCTCCCACTCGACTTCAGGCTAAAAATAAATTTTTTCTTTTGTAATCAATGTCAATATCATTTAAAATAGATTTGTTAACAGTAATATCTTTCATACAGGCATTTCTAAACAATATGAATACATTTAGATATGATCTCTATAAATATATTCTGCTCGCTATAAGAATATTATTCAGTAAAGTTTCTGACATATCGTGTCATATCACAAGTTGTATGAAGATTATATTCTTGATGGTTCATGTCAGTGGCAGATCTACGATTCTCGAAGGGGGGGGGACGATTTTGGCTAAATACTATTTTTTGAGTCCAATCGAAGTAATGTGAACCTATTTTTTCGTTCATGTTTGCTGTGAAAAATCAAAAAAAAATCGGAAGGGGTAGGGCGATGGCGGTGATCGCTCCCCCCCCCTAAATCCACCACTGGTTTATGTCCTATGGATATAATCATCACGATTTATCTATATTTAATTTACAGCGTATTGAGAAATTGATACTAGAGATTATTTTCAATGATACGTTGTGTTATAATAGATGTAGCATGAAGAATTAAATTACAAAATATGTATTCAGTATGGGAATATGGCGACATCTATGAAGACTCTAATTAATAAAATGAAAATTTTAGTAAAATATCCTATATTCGATGAAGTTTTGAAAAATAGAATTTTTTTAAATAAATTCTTTGTGGACAATAAAACAACTTAAATTCATTTGTTGTCAACAATTTCATATAATCCATATATTTGAATTTTGTCCTTTCCAATGAATAAACAAATAACATAACAGACGCAAGAATTGATTTCGTACAAAAATAAATTTTGTAAAATAATTTTTATTTCGTCTTGTTATCTTTTCTAATGATGTCCGATCTATCGAACACGCTTCGTAACATGAAGTTCATGCAACGAACTTCTAAATCTCGAAATAAATCTTCTAAAAAACCATCAACAACATCTGAAACAGTTCCTTCTCTTCCTCCATCAAATCCTATAATCACAACACCTGATCATCCAGGTTGTTGGCGTATTATTAAAAATGAAATCACATCATCCTCACAAATCCCATCAATAAATACCAATCATCCATCAATAATCTATCGCAATAGTATATTCTCAATTCATGATCGTAATTATACAAGATTATCTTTTCAAAATTATAATAAACGCATTGAACCATTAATGATAAAATATGGTCTTAAAGAAGATAAGAATAATTTAGAAGATGGTGAAATAGATCCAGATGATAATGATGATGATGATGAAAAGGAAAAAATAACTATAAATGACGACGATATTGAACCTAAACATGCCACAACTTTAGGAAAAACAATAAGAAAAAAATTTAATAAAAAACCTTTTTCTCGTGTACAATTCGATAATAAATCACGTATTACTAAACGTAAACGAAGAACACGTCCCACAACTTCATCAGATTAATATATATGTCTTTCAATAAATTTTGTTGT